ATCCAAGTTCCCTCCCTGGAAAAATGTGTTTCCTGGTCAGCCAGATCCGGTCAACAAGGGCTGACTTGTAACTTGAAGGTTGAGCTCCAAAAATCTGAACGCTGACCGTTCGGATCTAAAGCACTTTGGAGAATGAGCAAGCAACTAAACACCCACACTGCACGGTTATCACAGTTTGATAGCACCTTAAATGCCATGGCTCAATGTAGTGGAGTACTGGGGTTGGTAATGCCAGCAGCCCCTGAGTTGCAAACATCCAACTTACAAACAGGCTGAGATTGTGGCGGGATTGTGGCGCATCTGGCTGAGCGTCAGCTGCATTAAGATCACTCTGACCAAAAGGTCATGAGTTCGAAGCCAGCCCAGGTTGGAGTGGGCTTCCAACCAATTGTGTGTAGCCTGTTGTCGACCTTTGCAACCCGAAAGATAGTTGCATCTCTCAAGTAGGAAAATTAGGTACCACCTTGAAAGTGTGGGGAGGATACATTAACTAATTTATGAGGCCATAAAAAAAAAGACTCCAGCAGGGAAGCATGCGGGGAATGCGGAAGTGCTTCATCAGCGTCGCAGATGGACGATGAAAGCGACAGCTCCCCTGCCGGCCAGAAAAAGTTAAATAGCCTCTGTGTATGTCTGTATACGTTGTATGTCAAAATTGGCACTGAATGTTTGCCATCTATGTGTACACTGTAATCCGCCCTGAGTGAGAAGAAGGGCGGAAGAGAAATGCTGCAAATAAATAATAATAATAAATGAGATCACAGAAAGCGAGAGGAATCTCCCCCTTGGAAGGAAGGGGAATCCACTCCTGGAAGAGTTACTATTATCAGGGGGGAAAGGGGTCTCCACTGAAGCTTCCCCTCCAAATCCTTGTTTCCGCAACAAGCCAATTGATTGACAACCTCTCCCTTCTCAGGTGCTGCTGCTGTCTTTCTGCCTGATCCTCTCTCCTAACCTGTTCCCTTTCGGAGGGCAGGAGCGCCAGGCGGAGCTGCAGAGAGGTGAGTCCTGGGGGGGGGGGGGCTTCTATAGGGCAATACGGGGCAGTATAGCCATGTGTGTGAGAGAGAAAGAGAGAAATGTTATGGTAGGAGACAGGAGAGGACATACTCAGGATGACACTCCAATCAGGAATAATAATAATAATAATAATAACAATAATAGCCAAATTGACAAAGAAAACCATGGCTGTGGCTCACAAATGGGACTCAGAAAAAGGAGACAAAAGAGGGCCTGATTCTGGCAGCCCAAGAACAAGCCATTCCAACCAAGGCCATCCAAGCCAGAATTGAAAAGTCGACAACAGATCCCAAGTGTAGACTCTGCAAGGAAGCAGGCGAAACAAGAGATCCCATCCTCAGCTGCGGCAAGAAGATGTGCAGACAGATTACAAGCAGAGGCACAACACCCTTGCTCAGATAATTCATTGGAACTTGTTTCTTGTGGGTTTTTTCGGGCTATAGGGCCATGTTCTAGAGGCATTTCTCCTGACGTTTCGCCTGCATCTATGGCAAGCATCCTCAGAGGTGAGGATGACCCTTGTGCCACAAACACCACCTGCCTGCGACAAAGAACTGGTGGAATCACAAGCCGGAAAAAGTTACAGAGAATGAACATGTCAAGCTACTCCGGGACTTCCAAATTCAGACAGACAGAGTTGTGGATCACAACACTCCTGACCTCACAATTGTGCTAAAAAAACAAAGTATGGATCAATGTATTGTCGAAGGCTTTCATGGCTGGAATCACTCAGTTCTTGTGGGTTTTTTTCGGGCTATATGGCCATGTTCTAGAGGCATTTCTCCTGATGTTTCGCCTGCACCTCTGAGGATGCTTGCCATAGATGCAGGCGAAACGTCAGGAGAAATGCCTCTAGAACATGGCCATATAGCCCGAAAAAAACCCACAAGAACTGAAAGTATGGATTGTTGATGTTGCAATCCCAGGCTACAGTAGGATTGCAGAGAAACAACTGGAAAAGCTGACACAATACGAGGATTTAAAAATTGAGCTGCAAAGATTCTGGCACAAACCAGTAAAAGTGGTTCCAGTGGTGATGGGCACACTGGGTGCAGTGGCTAAAGACCCTGGCCTGCACTTAAATACAATCGGCGCTGACAAAATCACTATCTGCCAGCTGCAGAAGGCCACCTTACTGGGATCTGTGTGTATTATTCGCCGATACATCACACAGTCCTAGACACTTGGGAAGGGTCCGACGTGTGATCCAATACAACAGCCAGAAGAGTGTCTGCTGTGGACTCATCTTGTGATGTTTCTAATAATAATAATAATAATAATAATAATAATAATAATAATAATGTTGGGGTTCAGCCTGAGTTTGAACTTGAACCTGATTCTCTGTTTGTTCCTCCTGTTGCTAATGAAAGTATATTTACTGATGCTAATGGAAATGTACCTTCTGATGTCAATGTTCCTGAAATTAGTGAGGAAGGAACTTCTGTAGATTTGGAAAATGAAAGTACCAGTGTTCATGAGAATGTTTCAGAGGGAGACCTTGAACTTTCCCTCCCTTCTGCACCTGTTAACTGTAATGACAACAGAAGGGGCCAAATTTGGGAAGACAGAAGTAAATCACTCAGTTTGCGTCGATCCTCCCAAATTCAAGAATTAAAAACATTGGCTTCAAAACAGAAGGGCGGTTCACGGAACCGATTCTTGAGTTTTAATTGCAATACGCCAGGCTGATTGCCTCAGTTCAGGCATCGTTTCAGAATTGATGAAGACCTTGGCAGTTCTCCCGGTTCCCTGGCCATAGTTTGGGAAGATTTCTAGGATATCAAGTACGGTTAGTGGATTGCTAACAGGTTCCAGTATTTCACAGTGAGGCTTTTGGTTTTGCTTTGTCCATTTAAATTCATGTTTGCTGATTTTGCTGTGGCTTTTGACTTGCATTTTTCCTTTATTTTGTAACCATTTTTCTTCAATAAAAAAGGATTGTTTTTCACAGCCAAGTGTGGTGGATAGTTATCTTAGGGCTCGTTCCCTGCTCTGGATTGCAACAAATAATAATAATAATAATAATAATAATAATAATAATAATAATAATATCACAGAGTCCTAGACACTTGGGAAGGGTCCGACGTGTGATCCAATACAACAGCCAACAGAGTGTCTGCTGTGGACTCATCTTGTTGTGTTAATAATAATAATAATAATAATAATAATGATGATGATGATGATGATGATGACTGTCTCTCTCCTCTCCTTGCAGTGCTGTCCCGCCGCCTGCGCGAGTACCAGAGCGGTGCCATGCAGGAGCTGGTCAGCGATGGCCCCCAGACCACTATGGCACCGCCCAGCGCCGCTTTGCAGACCTTGGAAGAGGAGGCGCTGCGCCCCCCAGAAGCCCTGCTGCAGGCCAAGGAAGGGCCCCTCCTCAACCAGTCCCTGGGAGACCCCCGGAGCCCCCCACCGCCCAACCAGGACCCCTCCGATTACGACAGCAGCAGCAGCAACTCCTCCTCCGCTTCCCCGGCTTCCCCCACCCCTGCTCTCCAAGGGGAGCCCCCAAAGAAGGAGGGGTCTCCCCCCGGGACCCCCCTCGGCCAGGAGCGCAGCTGGGTGGGTCGCACCACCAGCGTGGTCATCCAGCCGCGGCACTCGGACGAGATGTGACAGGCGGGCGCTTGGGCAGCAAAGCTTGGACGCTTCCGGAGGGTGGTCAGGAGTGGACTGCATCCCCCCCCCCGATTTGGGAATGGGGGGGTCTTTTCTCCTCTGGCGAGCGTTGTGTGGGGTGGTCAGGACTTGGAGGAATTGCCTCCCTGTTTGGGAATGGGAGGAGGGGTCTTTTCTCCTCTGGGGAGGGTTGTGTGGGGAGGCACCCAAACCCCACAGTGGAGGGAGGGCTGGCCCTTCTCTGGACCCCTCCTCCTCGTTGCCCCTTCCTCTTGGGAGCAGTTGTGGGGGTCTTTGCAGGAAGACCCAGGCCTCTCCTTGGCCCTTTCTGAGCCTCCAGATGCAGCAGGAATAATGCAGACCCCGTTATTGTGGGGAGTGCCCCCCTCGACAGGTTTGGAGAGGAGAGGAGTGGCCACCAGTCAAGCATCGCATTAGAGAAGGGCACCCCAAAGGTCATCCAATCCAACCCTCTCCTTTCTTCCAAGTAGGAAGATGCCACCCAAGCTCTCTCGACAGATGGCCATCCAGTCCCTGCTTCAATAATAATAATAATAATAATAATAATAATAATAATAATAATAATAATAATAATACTTTATAACCCAATACCATCTCCCCAAGGGGACTCAGGGCAGCTTACATGAGGCCAAGCCCTAGAATAATAACAACAACACTAAAATAGGCCTCCAGAGAAGAAAGATTCACTGGATAGTGGTGTAGTCCACAGTCTCACCATCTAACATTGAGGTGGGGTCTCTTCTCCTTGCAGTTTGGATCCAACCAGAGGTTCCCATGGGGTTTGGTGCACCCCCCTGTGCTTGCCACCCCATTGGGGGGAGGAAAGAGGAGGGTCTTCTCCTTCCCTTTGGGTGGAGAGGGTTGATGGCCCTGTCCCCCAAACCAAAGCAAGCCCAGCCAAAGAAGGGGGTCAACAGGGGAGGGGGGCTGATGACCCCTCCCTCCAGAGTGAGGGTGTAGGGCCCCTCTTCCCTTTGGGGAGACCCTGGCGTGCAGTGGCCTAGGTGGGTTGGGGGCAGAGCCAAGCAGTGCCATGGGGTTGGTCATGAGCAGTAGCCCAAGAGACCCCTCCCCAACAGCGGCCCCTCCATCCCCACATCCAAACTTGTCCCCACCCTGCCAAAGAAGGAAGACCACCCCCACTTTGGCTCCTTCTCCTCTTCCTCCTGGGCTTTGGCTGAGCTTCCTGCCTCTTGCGCGTGGCCCCTGAGGACGGAGAGGGTCTCCCCCCTTCGGAAGGGGTCCTGCCTCTTTTGTGGTGGTCTCGCTCTTCCCTTGGCTGTTGTCACGGCATGTGTAAATAAACGAAACCCCTCTGTCATGGTTGACTTTTCAATGACTTTAAAGCATGGGTTCTTTTTATTGCAATTCCCAGGGTGAGAGGGGACATCAGATTACAGAAAAACGTTTAGACATACGGACATACAGATTCTATTTAGACATACACACATACAGATTCTACGCAACTACATTGGATTCACAATTACATTGGTTAACAAACAAATAAAGGAGAATTACATTTTCGATCACCTTTAACGCACAGTTCTTATCAGAGTTTACTTTTCAGTTTCTTATTAGCAACTTTTAATTACAGTCCAGTAAGCAGATTTAGTCATAGCAGGCCTTAATATTCTCCTGGTGTTTCCAAATTTATTAGCTCCACTCATTCATTCGTCTTCCATTCTTCCATTCATCCCCACACATCATATTAAATCCACATTTATTACGTTTTTGTGACACCTCCCCAGCTCTGGTTTCCATGTAGCCCCTTCTTAGGAGAGGGTGGTCTTTGGGGTCTTCTCACCGAAGCCCCCCCTGGGCAAAGAAAAGGCTTTTGTTGCATTCTGGACTATTTTCACGCAGGATCTGGGCCCTTCTCCCTACCCCTCAAACACAGACCTTCCTCAGGCTCCAGGTTTGGCGGAATGTGGGTCGGTGGGCCACTCCACCCCCCCAATACACAGAAGCAGAGAGTGGAAGGAGCCCAAAGGCTTCACTGGAGAAGGATTCACTGGATAGCAGTGTAGTCCATGGTCTGACCATCTAATGTTGAGGTGGGGTCTCTTCTCCCTGCAGTTTGGATCCAGCCAGAGGCTCCCATGGGGTTTGGTGCCCACCCACCCTGTGCTTGCCGCCCCATTGAATGGGAGACTCCTGGGGGCAGCAGAGAGGAGGGTCTTTCTCCTTCCTTTTGAGTGGAGAGGGTTGATGGCCCTGTCCCCCAAACCAAAGCAAGCCCAGCCAAAGAAAGGGGTCAAAGGGGGAGGGGGGCTGATGACCCCTCCCTCCAGAGTGAGGGTGTAGGGCCCCTCTTCCCTTTGGGGAGACCCCGGCGTGCAGTGGCCTAGGTGGGTTGGGGGCAGAGTCCAGCAGTGCCATGGGGCTGGTCATGGGCAGTGGCCCAAGAGACCCCTCCCCAACAGTGGCCCCTCCATCCCCACATCCAAACTTGTCCCCACCCTGCCAAAGAAGGAAGACCACCCCCACTTTGGCTCCTTCTCCTCTTCCTCCTGGGCTTT